TTCTAATTCCAAAAAATAAAGTGAGGTAGATACAAATTATTGACTTCTATTGAAAAATATATTATGAAATTCAAATGAATAAACGGATTATGTAGTCAGTTAATTAATTTGTATACCCATTAGTTACATTTAGATTAACAGAATTTGATTGTGGGGGGTGGGATGGGGTGGGGAGGGGAGTGGAGAGGAGAGGAGGGGGAAAATGTGAGATATTAAATGTCTATTTGATTATATTATTGAACTATAAAGTTTAAGGAAGATCAACTAATCATTGTAAATTTTATGTTTGTTTGTTTTTCTTTTAGTGGAAAATTTTTATAATTAAAACTGACAAAACATGCTTTAATAATGAACACTTATCAATTTAATATCAGAATGAGTTTTTTGGATATTATAGTGACCAATGAAATTCAACCAGGTTTTTTATGAGATAGTAACTCACTGAAGACAATGATGGACGGTGGTGCAATTTCGTGGATTGGTCGAAGTTAGACATTAACACCGTTGGGTGGCGGCTTAGTGGTCTAGTGGTTAAGCGTTCGCTCGTGAGACCGATAACTCCTGGGATCGGATCTCCCGAAACGGAGTCGTGGTTGCGCACCGATGGGGAGTTCCATACTAGGATGAAACGGCCGCTCAGTGTTTCCAGGTTTTCATGATGGTCTAGCTTCAAGCAAATCATGATTTCAACTATCAAAACTTATCCATTTGACTAACATAGAGTTAAAAGAATTCATGACAGTGCAATAGTTGGAGATGAGCTTCAGTAAGAAAAATAAAAGCTAAAATGATGGTGCGAATGGATTGTGTTTTTCATCATTTATTATTCAGTTTGAAATCATTCTGATTTTATTGAATAAAATCTCTATCACAAATTACTGAATTATTTAATTAAACGAGAGTCATTCTACAAAACAGATCATTATTAGAATGAGGGTTTGTGGAGATTTAGTAATTTTTAATAGTTGAATTCATGAATTTATTTAAGCTGGATCACCATTGAAAACCTGCGCACTGTTGAGGAGCCCCACACTAGAATGAAGTGGCCATCCGGTGTTTCCAGGTTTTAAATGGTGATGTAGCTTAAATCGAATTACAAACTCAACTATTAAAAAACAGACTACGCTACATGCTGGAAAAATGTAAACGTGATACATTACAGTTGTTGTCAAAAGATTATAACGTAGATGCTTTACTATATTTCACCTATAAGTATACATTATATACTTAGAGTCATAAGCATAGAGCTGAATTAAAATATTCCAGTTAACAATCGAATCTCATGAGGCGGGATTGTGGATCCACACTTCTGAGGAGTCGCAAAATAGAACGAAATTGCCGTCCAGTGCTTCCAGGTTTTCCATGGTGGTCTAGCTTCAATTGACTCATGATCTGGACTATTAAAATAAATATTTGTTATTCAATGTTGATAGGATATTTTTAAATGTGTTTATTTTTGAATATTTCGCTTTGCGTCTTCTCAACTTCGTAAACAACACCCCCGCCGCAAGAAGGCAATGAGTAGGACTTCTCTGGCAGAGGTTGTATTCATGTGGCCATGTAAGAGCATTTAAAGAGAGAGAGGGCTGGCTGTCCCCGCTCTCGGCCGTACCAGGGTATTTTAGGGCTTGAATTGAGATGTCTAACTGGTTTATCTGACACCATTAGTTACTGAGACATAGGCTTAGTAACTAAGTAAATTTGATAAGTTGTAGTCTCTACCCATTTAGTCACTGATTTACAGTAACTAACTAACTTGTTTGCTAGGCACAATACTTATTATTAATTGTAAGCATTTATTTCCTCCTATTACAAGTATCCGAAGCTAAAACCGACCAATCACTGTGTTTTGTCTATGCTGTTTTATGAGAATGTCCGAATTCTGTCCTCATTTTCACCATTAGTCAAATAAAAACGATTAGAACTGTTGGTAGTGGGATTTGTAGCCTGATTTTTATGTAAAATCGAAAGTATGTAACAATGGAATATATTTTATGATTCACAGTATTCTGATGCGATACGAATTTAGTATCATACAAATATTTATTCTTACAGATTTTAAGTGACAAACTGATTTTAGTTAGACGTCTGAAAACATAGAATCCCTGGAAGGCTGTTTAACTAAGTATGGAGCATTTCAACAGTTCTCACCCACGGTTTTACACTCGGGAGTCGAACTCAGGACTGGTTTTATACTCGTACGCTTAAGCTCTAGATTACTATGTCTGCATTCAATGGTGTGAATGCATAACTTTAATTAATTCACGAAATTTAGCAGCCGTCAATATATATTCGTTCTGTGTGTATTTTATTCTAAATTATATGTTAACTAACAAGTTGTAGAGACATCATGCAACACTTTATGTATGACGTTCTGGATTTAAAATATCCATCCAAAAGTATGATTGATCCAATTAACAAGAACTCTAAAAATCATAAGTCTCAATTATTATATTATTATCTTCCTTTATTAAGTGGATAGTTGTTTACAGCTTTTATTTAGTAGATTATTACATCCTTTTACTTTTAAAACTATTACACAACGTAAGCTCTTGATGATCTTTGACTACTACTACTACTACTACTGTGGTGTGTGCTACTTATATTGACATAAGTAGTATATGATGTTAGTCGTCAACAGAAGATCGGGAAGCAGAGTGACAAGAGGGTCGAACAGTAAAGAATGGAAACAAAATGCAATTTATATTAAAATACAAGAACAATGAAGTCTGAGTCATTTTGAGACAATTGGTGGACATTTTGCAAATTAAACATTTACTTTATGATTGTTAGATTTTATTAACAAGTCCTGTTATTTTTGTGCTAAATACATTCGATTGTCCCCACTGGTGATCTTGTTCACTACACTACTACTACTACTACTACTACTACTACTACTACTACTACTACTACTACTACTACTACTACTACTACTACTACTACTACTACTACTAAATGTTGCGACGCCCCTTTCTTATTCAATGCTTAAAAGCTTTAATTACATTAAAATAACACCCTTCCATGTATAAACCCTTATACTCGTTACCTAAAATCTGTTGATAGTCATAACTATATTATGCAATCCCACTTCATTTTCGTTAACTTTCACTTGAAAAAGTTTGACTATCTTTGATAATTTTATAAACTCATTCTATTTTACTGTAGACTATTACATGTAAAATTTCAGAAAATGATATCGTCGAAAAGATAATTTCCTTTGCTAAAACATCATTCCTTTTGATGAATCAATGAACTTCTTTCGTAGGGTCAAATTGTCATTATTCATAAAATAAGATCTTACGAATATTTTTCAGCTTTCAGTATCTACTCATCATCGTTGATGGAAAAAGTTTTTCTATCAAATCAGCTTCTACAAATTTCATTTCATTCACTGTATACTAGATGGATAGATTTTCATTGAAATCATGAATTAATCTAAGTTTAACCAACGTTGAAAATCTAGAAGTACTGAACATTATTTTTGTCCTAGTGTGGAATTACTTGGCAGTGCTTGTCTACAACCACGCATATGGGAATCGAGTTCACTATCTGAAGTCTCCCATGTGAATGCCCAATTTCTGTAGACCATTGAATCGGTCTCCGATGGTGTTGGTGCCTAACTTCGATCAATCCATTTCAAATTGTCTTTGATGGGTAACTACTTTAAATCTGACATGGATTTGCTCCACTGGCCATGACGTCTCACTAAAACTCTGAAAATCTCCTCTCGAAGCTAGTCTCTAGTGAGTACATTACAATTGTCAATAAGGGGTTGTTGAAATTGTTGAATTTGATTGGAATCATGAATGGATCTAAGATGTATGTATTCCAAATACAATTGTCCATTATTTCTTCAAAGGATAGACAATTAAGAAATTAATTCGATAACTACATTGTCTGTGTTCGAGTTTTCAAGTATTTATCGTATCACTATGGTTTGGAAACGTTTTTTATGAGAACACACTTAAGTAGACATATAAAATTTGCGCTCATAATTATTTAGTTCAAACAAATCTTAAACATGATGATTTCCTTAAAATACAAACGCATGGCTCAAATGTCCAAGGAAAATAATCTCAATAATCGAACAGATATTACATCTACTAACTTGATTTTAATCTAATATATGGATATGAATTAGAGTACTATAGTTCTTGGATGTCCTGGTTCCTATTATATCTGTATACTGTTGAAATCACTTCAATTATGATATAAAATTGGTTTCGTATAACTTTATAACATTTAATAGTTGAGTTCATAAGTCAATTAAAGCTAGACAATCATGGAAAACCTGTAGGCACTGGACGGCCGTTTCGTTCTATTATGGGACTCATCAGCAATGTGCATCCATGATCCCGCATCGCAGGATTCGAATTCAGAACCTAACCTGTAGACCACTGAGCCAGCACCCAACGGTGTTAATGTCTAACTTTAACTAATTCACGACATTGCACCACTGTCTACCATTGTCATCAGTGAGTTACTATCTCACAACAGACCTGGTTGAACACTACTGGTCACTGCTTCTCATTAGAACTCCAGGAAATACCTCTTGAAGCCAGTCACTAGTGAGCATATGATGATTATAATCATAAAAGATTTTTTTCAAATTTATCAAATTGAAAATCTTTACACATATTGAAAATATGATTATGTAATAAATATATAATTATCAGAATGAGTTTTGTGGAGATTTTTAGAAATTCCACTGGTTGAAATCATGAGTCAATTGAAACTAGACCACCATGGAAAACCTGGAAGCACTGGACAGCCGTTTCGTTCTAGTATGGGACTCCTCATCAGTGGGCATTCACGATCCCGCCTCCCACGAGATTCGAACCCAGGACCTATCAGTCTCGCGCCAGGCGATTAACCAACTAGATCACTGAGCCGGACGATATCCAACGGTGTTAATGTCTTCCAGGTTTTCCATGGTGGTCTAGCTTCAATTGACTCATGATTTCAACCAGTGAAATATATATAATTAATTAGTTACTAACCTGTATGTGTTCTAATATGTACATACATATTACTATAATGTCTTGTTGTATAATTACATAATTTACATTTTAATAATGATTCACCTGTACTAGTTGCATGGGTTTTTTGTAAATGTCTTAATAAATTTTTTTCAAATCGAAAACATTTATGACATAATGGACATAACATATTTTGATCTAAAATAAATTCATTAAAATTTAATGGTGGAGAATATGAAATAGATGGAATTGTATTAGTAGTTGTAGTAGTAGTAGTAGATTGTAATTGTAATTTTGTATCATCAATAATTTCATTGAAATTAGATTTATTCAATGATATAAATGATGAATTCATAATTGTATGTTTAGTATTCAAAGAACAATCAGTGATTGGTGGTGGTGGTGGTGTTGTTGCTGCCGCTGATAATGATCGTGATGGGGATGATGATGATGATGATGATGTTTGTTTCCAAATTGAACTATTTTGATATAATTCAGGATGATAATTTTCTGTACAACATATATCTGACCATAAAGGGTTACATTTAGAATGATATATTTCGGGTATATTAAATGAAGTCCTATATGAATCTAAATGATACTTATTATCAACATGGAAATCTCTATTATTATTATTTTCATCATTGAATTGTACTGTTGCTTCTTCAAGAGGTAGATTATCATCTAATTTCAATAAATGATTACTTTCATGGTTTATATTCTTGATCAAAGTGTTATCATCATATAAATTATTACAATTGATTGATTGATTTAACCACTGATATAAGCAATTTCTTGACTCATTATTATTATATACATTAAACTGATGATATGGTTCAATGATATTTGTTGAGGATAACAACGATGGTGATGATGATGTTGATGACGACGATGATGATGATAATGATGATGATGACGATGCCCAATCTTTGTTAGATGATAAATATTCAAATAATAAACTATTTAATTTATTCAAATATTTTTTGATTAAGGCATTTCTATGAGTTAAATCGATTAGATCTGGATTTGTATGGTTTCCGTTACTATTATTACCATTACTATTATTATTATTATTATTATTATTATTATTATTAACCGGACTATTAGTAGATTGTAATCTAGTCATTATGTAATTATCATAATTTGATAAAATTACATTTTGTAAAGTTTGTCGAAACAATTCTGTTCTCATTAATTTTGTCCAGGTAAATAATAATAAAGGGGATGGTATAAATTGTTGTATATAATAATATTGTTTTGTATAATTTTGAAAAATATTTACTTCATAATTATCATTTATGATCTTCTTATTCGGATCATGATTATTCTGATCATTGTTAAACTTATCATAATCACTATGGTGATCTAAATGATTGCTGAACATTTGAATAATATGATGTATACTTAGGTTATATTGTATAAATCATAGATTGTTTATTAAAGATACTGACAGTTAGAATAATGATGAATTATTCTTATTCATTTAGAAACTGTATAATAAAATAAAAAATGGAGAAGATTTATAGCTCAGATGAATGATTTTGATGGAGTTTTGTTGTCTGAGCTGAATGGTCTGATCATGAAGCTTTCATCGTTCCTTTGAATGATATCATTAGCACAAACGTCTATTTGAAGAACGATGAAAGCTCCAAAACTAAACCATCCAGCTCAAAGAATAAAACTCCATCAAAAATAAGAAGTAAATGAATTCAATGAAGAGATGTTTATGATTCTTTTTTAAAAAGAAAAGACACAATCTCCAATTACCGAATCAATATCTTATGTAACATACTTGATTTCTAGTGAAGAATGTAATGATACAATTTAGAATAAAATATACAAAAATTTTGATGAAAATCGGCATCATGAACTGGTTGATTTCAGATAGAGAACTATTGGAAAGTATGGAGCAATTGATAGTTATTTTGTTCTGGTATGAGACTTCACAGGAAATCTTCCAACGACCTTCTCTGGAGTTAAATTCGTGACCTTCAGATTACTGAGTTAGTGACATCTAATAGCTTACATCTCCGGGTTCAATTAATTCGTGACATTATTGTTGTCTATAAATAAGAGGGGTCAGTTTGCAACTAAATGGAATGTGAGTGCTGGATAACATTGATTCCTTTCAATCGCCCATGATATTTAATCATGTTTATTTTTCTGTTCATATATTGTGTACAATCGTTTTGTTTTATTAGAAATAAAAACCTATTCATCTGTGTACCTGAATTTTCAGTCTACAATAAACTACTGGTCTTTTATTTGATCTCAAATCATACGATGGCTTAGACCAATGTTTTTGTAAGCAGCTATCATTCGATCCCATTGTATCCCTACATATCATTCATTGACAAGCATTGTTTTACCTTATTTTAACAATCGCAAATTTGGTCATGAAATCAAGAAACCTTAATCCATAACTTTATACTAATGCCAGTCCTTGAATATAAGCTATCTTAAAATTGAACAATATCTCTGAAAAGATCAGGAAGAAGCCAATGCAAATTCTACATACTGATTTCATTCAAATATCGCATACTCATATCTTTTGAAATATAAATATAATGTACACAAGTACCTATCAGGTAATTTAATAATGATGTGAATAGCAGTCTAGCGGTTTTTAGTATGCAATTTGTACAATTTAATGTTTGAACTGGGAAGGAAATAGGGTTAAATAATTCTAAGAACTGATAACTTTGTAACAAAATATTATATTTGCAGTGACTAGTCACTGAGTAGTGACCATTGTCATCTTGTACAGTTCTTGATGATAATTTTGTTACCTGTCCCTTCCTACAATCTAGATATTTCAACAAGTTATCTGTTTTTGTTG